AACTGCTCTGTGACTGGAGGCGAGATATGCTGGCAGCAATGCTGCTCTGTTATTCTTTACTACACTGAGATGTTTGGGTGAGAGAAGCATAAATCTGGCCTACATGCACATCCAGGCATAGTACCTTCCTTTGAACTTATTTGCGACGCAGATTCCTTTGCTCACGTGTTTTCTTGCTGACCTTCTCCCCACTATCACCCTGTTCTCCTGCTGCATTCCCCTTGCTGAGACAGTGAAAATAGTAATCAATAAATACTGAAGGAACTCAGACACCGGTGCCGGTGTGGGTCCTCCGTATGCTGAGCGCCGGTTCCCGGGGCCCACTGTTCGTTCTTTCTCTATACTTTGTCTCTGTGTCTTATGTCTTTTCTCAGTCTCATCCCACCAGACGAGAAATACCTGCAGGTGTGGAGGGGCTGGCCACCCCTTCAAGCCGGGATTATCAGGGCATTTGGGTGTCTGAAAAACCAAGCCCAAACTCATCAGTTTCATAAGTGCATCCAGAGCCAGCCTGACCATAATAGTTGCCTATGATGAGTTTCTATGCCTTAATATGAGAAGAGAACATAGGGGCTGGGTGCCAAGTAGGTAGACAGGGAGGGCAGGGAACTCTGAGACAGAGCTTGAGGAGCCCATTCCTCTTGCAAAATGAAACAAAAACCACAGCACTGAATATGTAAATCTCGGTGGCTGAACCCCTCCTAGGATAATAAGCCCTGACACAATTGCTTCTATCTTCTCTTACTCTCAAGGAAGTCAAAAAACACCTGCAGCCCCACTGTCCCCTTGGAAACAAGATGAACATCTACATTTTCTAGAGTGGGACCAGAATCTCTGTTCATATTTATGTCCCATGCATTTGCACATGGCCAGACAAAGGACTTTGCTTCTGCCAGCACATCTCTCTTCAGATATGAGAGGGAACAGACACCACCTGGAAGCAGCAAAGAAGCAGCTCTTTCTCAAGTAACCTCCTCTATCTCCCTCCTTCCTGGCTAATGGGGCAGCCTTGATCCTTGGGAATCCAGGACAGATATCCACTCGTGACAAACTAGCTGGAAGAATGACAACCAATCAGGTTCTAAGCACCACTGGATGTGAACCACAGAATTTTCCCTTCTCCTTGTGGAATATCAGCTTATGTCTGACAAAAAAACGTAAAAATGAGAGAGTTACAATCTTAAGGAGGAGTCAAGCTAAAGCAAAAAGAATCACCTACTCTGGATTTCAGCGTGACTGCTGAGCTCAAATATATACAAAGAGAGAAAGAACCACAAACTTGAAGATGGATATCGGCTACAGACTTTCCTGAGTCAGGTAGGGAAACTGCCATCCCTCAAACCTTGCAAAAGGCAAACTTATGCCTTGTGTCCCCTGACGTACTGGGTGATGTACTGTATGTTACTGAATTGAGGGGAACTTCCTAAATTGGCTAGTAAATTATGCCAAATAAAAAGCAAAAATGATAATTCTTGAAATGTTACCCCTGAGGAACATTGCTAAAATAATTTATCGGTAGTTTTCAGGATGATTTGTAGATGTGCATTGAAGTGTGTGCTTGTGCTCTCTCTCTCCTCTCTCTCTCTCTTTCTCTCCTTGCCTCCCTCCCTCCCTGCCTTTCCTTCCTCTCCCCTCCAAAGCAGTTTATTTCTTTTTCTGATAATCTAACTTTGCTGAGGGTTCAATGTAACGCAGCTTCAGTGATGAGTTAGTTGGAATGTTCCCCAAGAAATTCTATTTCCAGCAATCGTATACATGAAATCCAAGAACCTCTCAAACTATCTTACTGACACCTTGCCTTTCCTCAACAAATCAATCTTATCAATGTCCATCATAGATATTTTGTAGAATGGTAGATCCTGGCAGAGTCTCACAGATGCTTCTGAGACATCATTTGCTTTCAAAAAATGAACCACACACATCCTAAGGATCTCAGCCACTTTCCATGATTCATTTTATGTTACAGCAAACATCACAACAATCATTCCTATAGATCACCACTGCATGTGATCAATAAAATAGTTTTGCCACAATGATACTTATGCTAATCATAATTTATGCTAATCATCTTTTATTGGTTACAAAGCCTGCTTTACAATAGTTATTCGGTTGCACTGTTCATATTAGATTTCCAGTTAGTTCACTTAGGAACATGAGTCCCTCGAACAGCTCGGTCATCTTTTCCATTCCCATTTCTATCCCCTACATCTCTTTCATTTGCAGAAGACTGTCTCCTACACTGAAACAGGAAAGCTTTTACCTTTTTGGCATGCTTGATTTAAAGATTATAGAAAAGTATTTGACAAACAAAACTCATACATGTGTGTACATGTCATTTAAAACTTTATGTTTACGCATTGCACAGGAATATTGAGAATGCTACTAGGCAATGTCAGAGTTTACTTTTTTTCCAAAATTAGTACAGTTTTATTATTTCTAAAAACTGTAAAATGAATATATTCACACAACCATACAGAAGAGTAGGAAGAGAAAGTGTCATTGTTCCTCCTCTGCAATCCCAGGAGATAACTACCAAGCACAATTTATGTGGTTCCTTTACAAATCAGCCCATATTTATATACATATATAATCAATTTAGATGGGATCATGATATCGCACCACACATACTCTTCACTGACCCGCATTTTCACAAACACCTTCCACATAACTATATAGAAGCCTACGTCTTCCTCTTATTGTCTGGCTTTGTGCTACATTGTAAAGCTCTAATAGGAGTTTAATTAAATTCCTATTAATGATGATTTCAGTTATTTTTCACTTTTTAAACAATACTTCCAGCGTAGTCTTACATATAAGTCTGGGCAAGCTTATCCCAGTCTAAGGAGCTCCTTTTACCTTTCCCAAACTCAGCACTCCCTGTCATGCTTGCTACTTCCGTTGGGTGACTTTACTCCTGGAGTATAATGTGCATATAGTTCAGTTAAGTACATGGGTTCTGAGTTTAGGTCACAGCTCTGCCACTTACTGCCATATGCCAGTTCCTTGACCTCTCTGCCCTCAAGTTTTTGCACCTACAAAATAGGGGTAGTTCATAGAGTCTTGGGAATAATTAAATGTGATGATCCATGTACAATGTCTGGCACTTAAGTAAGTGCTCAATAAATGTCACCCTTCATGATTGGTATTGCTTGTATGTCTGCAGAGAAAATCATTTTATGTCTCCTTTAAAAAAGGACTGTGCCCTTGGTCAGCTATTTTGCACATTTAAATTTCACTTGCCAATGTGAACTCTCCACCTCTATCTTGATCCCTCTCATTCCTCATCTTCTGGTGAGACCAACTGCTGATTCGGCTATTCAAGGCAACTAGCAAAGCTGCCAGTGACAGAATCAAATAAACCTACCCTTAATCTTTAGAATTATAGTTATGATTTGTGTTGTAAAAGTTACTATTGTGGTAGTCGTATTAGTCTCTGCTCTATGATAGCCTCTCTGATCTATTATTGATTTTCAATTGTGCGGTTTTTTTTAATTTATTCTGAAAATGTTTGTTAATCATTTACTAAGTAAAGATACTGGACTGGGACTGAGCCTCCCAAATACAGGACAAATAAAACATCAAACAACTTATAATTTAGAAGGGTAGAAGAGAATCTGAAAGCAGGTAAAAATAAGGAGGCACTCGGCCAGGCGCGGTGGCTCACACCTGTAATCCCAGCACTTTGGGAGGCTGAGAGATGGGTGGATCACGAGGTCAGGAGATCGAGACCATTCTGGCTAACGCGGTGAAACCCCATCTCTACTAAAAAAATACAAAAAAATCAGCCAGGCATGGTGGCGGGCAGGGTGGCAGGTGCCTGTAGTCCCAGCTACTGGGGAGGCTGAGACAGGAGAATGGCGTGAACCCGGGAGGCGGAGCTTGCAGTGAACCGAGCTCGTGCCACTGCACTCCAGCCTGGGTGAGAGAGCGAGACTCCGTCTCAAAAAATAATAAAAAATAAGTAGGCACTTTAGGCCCAGTGACCTGTCTCTGTATTCTGTAAATTCAGGTCACCTGCTCAGGGATAGTCTAAGAGAAGGTCTCTCTTCAGTTGAATCTTGAAAGACAATTAGCAGTTCACAAGCTAATCCAAGTGGACAAAGGTGTTCCCAAGCAGAGGGAGTGCAAAAGCTGGTGGCCATAGAAAAACTGTAAGGAGTGTCGGGAGGTGGGAGTAATGTATGGAAGGGGTGGAGATGGAAGGTTAAGAGAGATACAAGACTGCAAAAATGGAGCCGGACTCAAAAGAAAACACTGCAAAGGTCTTCAGTGTTGTTGATGAGATCACTGTGGAAACACTATGGAACACTGGGACTCCATGGCAGCTCCAAAGATGGCATGCACCTGGTCCAGCTCAGTAAGAGCTGAGCTCTACCTGTGCTGTGACAACAGACACACCAACCAAGTAAAGTCTACTTTTCTACTCTGTTAATCTTCACTTTGGTTTCATATCCCATCCGTAGCTACATTTCAAAATGCACTTCAAAGTTTTGAGCCTTAATTTGATATACATTTAGTCTACCTTTTTAAAAATAACATTGCAGCAAAGGAGAAGTTAAAATAGTAAGACAGCCTGTAATTATTACTCACTGAGAAGCTGATGATTTCCGTAATTACACTAAATGAAGTTTATCCTTTGCAAAAGCCCCCCAGCCCACCCCAAAAGAAAGTACAAAAAATAACTGACCCTTTTTTTCATTGCTTGTTTTTCTTTGTAATTTACATTCAGTCTACTTTCTAAAAAATAAATAAATAATAAGCAGTCCAGATGTAGCAAGTTGCTAAAGAAAGGAACCATCAGGCCATAGAAATAAATACATTCTCTTCTTGGCTTTTAGATCTCACCTAAGAAAATAAACATATGCTATGTCAGAGAAGCCTCAGGGCTTCCACACCTGCTCGAAAAGGGAGTTGAGCTTCAGCAGCTGACCCAGGGCTCCGTTCCCCTTTGGTGAGAAGGGTTTTTGTACAGCAAGACAATGGAGAGCTCTCACTGTGGTGGACGTTCGGCCAAGGGACCAAGCTGGAAATCAAACGTGAGTAGAATTTAAACTTTGCTTCCTCGTTGTCTGTGTCTTCTGTTCCCTGTGTCTATGAAGTGATCTATAAGCTGACTCTGTAATCAGACTCTGACATCCTTCAGGGAAAATATAAAGATAAGTCTGTAGTCAAACTCGAGAATTGAGTGTACATTTTCTTTGAAGAGCAAGCAAGCTTCAGTCATTGGGTAAGAATAACTTGTCTAAGCAATAGCTTCAGAAATGTCCTGGGGAATATAACATGTTCTGGACAGAGCCTTGGTCAATTGTCAGAAAGGGAGTTTTTGTATAGGAGGGAGGTTAAGAGGAACCATTGTGTGTACAGTTTTGGCCAGGGGACCAAAGTGGAGATCAAACGTAAGTACTTTTTTCCACTGATTCTTCACTATTTCTGTCTAATTAGTTTACTTTGTGTTCCTTTGTGTGGATTTTCATTAGTTGGATGTCAGGGAACTAACAAACTTCATTCCCAGGTTAGGTACAGTGGAGGGGAAATTGTTCCACAGCAGGCTAGCTTGTGGCTAGCTTTTAAGATTTCTAAATCAAAATAACTTCAGTGGGGGAAGGAGGTTTGCTGACCTTTCAGGGAGGTTTTTGTAAAGGGAGAAGTTAAGACGAATCACTGTGATTCACTTTCGGCCCCGGGACCAAACTGGATATCAAACGTAAGTACATCTGTCTCAATGATTCGTGAGATTTTGGTGCCATTGTATCATTTGTGCAAGTTTTGTGATATTTTGGTTAAATAAACCTGGTGACCCAGAAGTAAACAGTGGGACACCAGAAAATCAACTTAAAAAGCTGAGCAAATAGACAAATCACTGGGTTTGGGAGGAGAATAGGATTCATGGGGGAAATGGGAAAGAAATAGCTAGATTTTTCTCTGAACAAGCAGCCTATCTCATGATTGGCTTTGAGGGAGGTTTTTGTTGAGGGAAAGGGTAAGATCCCTCACTGTGGCTCACTTTCGGCGGAGGGACCAAGGTGGAGATCAAACGTAAGTGCGTTTTTGTAATGTTTTTTCTTACAAGGTTGTAAATTTGGGGAATTTTTATGTTTAAGATATTAGCTTAGGTCAATTCCAAAGAGTACCAGATTCTTTCAAAAAGTTAGATGAATAAGGGACTGAAACTTAGTTCATCTTAAGGGATAGCCAAGTGCTAGCCGGTTAAGTCAGGCATCTAAATTGCAAGATTTTCTCTGCATCAGTCAGGCTAGTGATATTAACAGGGAAAACAGATTTTTGTTAAGGGGAAAGTAAGTTAATACTGTGGATCACCTTCGGCCAAGGGACATGACTGGAGATTAAACGTAAGTAATTTTTCACTATTGCCTTCTGAAATTTGGGTCTGATTGCCAGTATTGACTTTTAGAGGCTTAAATAGGAGTTTTGTAAAGATGGGTAAATTAGGGCATTTAAGATTTATCATGGGTTACAAAAGTTAAACTTAGCTTCAAAAATGGATTTGGAGACAAAAAAATTAAATTATTCTAAACTGAATGACACAAAGTAAAAAAAAAAAAAAAGTGTAACTAAAAAGGAATCCTTGTATTTCTAAGGAGCAAAAGTAAATTTAATTTTGTTCACTCTTGCCAAATATTGTATTGGCTGTTGCTGATTATGCGTGATACAGAGAAGTGGAAAAATATATTTTTTAGTCTTTCTCCCTTTTGTTTGATAAATTATCATTTCAGACAACTATAAAAATCAATAGCATGCCCTAAAAAAATCAGGAAAAAGTGACGTGTACCTATTTGCTATGTAAAAGAGGCAACTTACTTGAAAATCCGCAGCAATGTTGTTTTCAGAGTCTATAATAAGCAATAAACTCAAAAAGACAAATTCTTTAGGAATAAGGGCTTCACAGATAGAGATCATTTTTTAAAAATCCAATTTGTCCATTAGACTAAACATGAAATTATCTCTTATTGCAATGGTGGAAAGGTGGTTATTCCCCAAAGCTCAATCTCAAAGAAATGTGTTTAAATGAAAAAAAGTAAATAATTGCAATTTTTAATGACCGTGGGTCTATGAAAAAATAGGAAATCTTTTAAAGAGTATGTTCTTTTATTACACTCTGTTATGACTTGTCTACATTTTTATTCCGCCAAGAAGTCCGTGGCACCGCGAGCTGTAGACAGAGCCGCGGTCTTTCTTGATTGAGCGGCTTTGGTGGCCTTGCCGCCGCCCTCTTGGGGCAGCCGCCTTGCCGCTAGCGGCCATGGCCACCCCGCGTCTGCCCGATTAATGCTGCCGTAGCCAGATTTCCTGATGCACAGTGATACAAATAATGCCATTAACGGAAAGAGAACAGAAACGTAACGGGCGCTGAGCTGGGAAAACTAGGGAGAAGACTGATTTATTAGAGATTTCAGAAATAAAATTCACATTCATTACGATATCTCATTAGTGAAAATTTCCACTGGGGATTGTAAAGAATTTAAAGCTTTTTTTTTTTTCAGTGCTATTTAATTATTTCAATATCCTCTCATCAAACGTATTTAAATAACAAAAGCTCAATCAAAAAGAAAGAAATACGTAATTCTTTCAGAGTAAAAATCACACCCATAACTTGGCCACTGAGGGCTTGATCGATTCACTTTGAATTTGGCATTAAATACCATTAAGGAATATTAACTGATTTAAAAATAAGATATATTCGTGACCATGTTTCTAATTTTCAAAAATGTAGCTGCCGGTGTGTGATTATATTTCAGTTGTACAAAATATCTAAACCTATAGCAATGTGATTAATAAAACCTTAAACATATTTTCCAGTACCTTAATTCTGTGACAGAAAAATTTTAATCTGAGTATTTTAATTTCATAACCTCTAAAATAGTTTAATGATTTGTCGTTGTGTTGCTGTTGTTTACCCCAGTTGACTTCAAAGGTGATATTTAAGGAGGATTATTTTGGTCTGCAGCAACTTGATAGGACTATTTTAGGGTCTTTTTAAAGCTCTATTAAAACTAACTTACAACGATTCAAAACTGTCTGTTTTAAACTATTTCAAAATGATTTTAGAGCCTTTTGAAAACTCTTTTAAACACTTTTTAAACTCTATTAAAAGCTAATAAGATATCTTGAAATAATTTTCATATCAAATACATTGATTGTTTAATGTTTAAATGTCAGATGAAAAAGGTAAAGCTATTAAGAATTCACCCAGATAGGAGTATCTTCATAGCATGTTTTCCCCTGCTTATTTTCCAGTGATCACATTATTTTGCTACCATGGTTATTTTATACAATTATCTGAAAAAAATTAGTCATGAAGGTTAAAAGAGAAGAAAATATTAAACATAAAAGGTTCAGTCTTTCACGTTGAACTACTTGGTTAACAGCGAATTTAGCTTAAAAAAAAAAAAATCCTATTCCTGTTATCTGTTGACTTCTCCTGGCAAAGGATTCTTGTTTTTCATTTTAACTACTGCTCTCCCACCCGACGGCTGGAAATCCCCAGAGGGGGATTTCCAAGAGGCCACCTGGCAGTTGCTGAGGGTCAGAAGTGAAGCTAGCCACTTCCTCTTAAGCAGGTGGCCAAGATTACAGTTGACCTCTCCTGGTATGACTGAAAATTGCCGCATATGGTTACAGGCCTCGAGGCCTTTGGGAGGGCTTAGAGAGTTGCTGGAACAGTCAGAAGGTGGAGGGGCTGACACCACCCAGGCACAGAGACAGGGCTCAGGGCCCACTGTGCAGGGAGGTTTTAGCCCAGCCCAGCCAAAGTAACCCCCAGGAGCCTGCTGCATAGTCCTGGAAGAGGAACAGCGGAAATAAAAGCAGACAGAGGCTTTTCTTGACTCAGCCGCCGCCTGGTCTTCTTCAGATCTGTTCTGAATTCGAAACTCTGAGGGGGTCAGGTGACGTGGCCTCTCTTTGCCTAAAGCATTGAGTTTACTGCAAGGTCAGAAAAGCATGCAAAGGCCTCAGAACGGCTGCAAAGAGCTCCAACAAAACAATTTAGAACTTTATTAAGGAATAGGGGGAAGCTAGGAAGAAACTCAAACATCAAGTTTTTAATTACGCTTCTTGGTCTCCTTGCTATAATTATCCAGGATAAGCATGCTGTTTTCTGTCTGTCCCTAACATGCCCTGTGATTATCCGCAAGTAACACACCCAAGTGCAGAACTTTGTTACTTAAACACCATCCTGTTTGCTTCTTTCCTCAGGAGCTGTGGCTGCACCATCTGTCTTCATCTTCCCGCCATCTGAAGATCAGGTGAAATCTGGAACTGTCTCTGTTGTGTGCCTGCTGAATAACTTCTATCCCAGAGAGGCCAGCGTAAAGTGGAAGCTGGATGGTGCCCTCCAATCGGGTAACTCCCAGGAGAGTGTCACAGAGCAGGACAGCAAGGACAACACCTACAGCCTGAGTAGCACCCTGACGCTGAGCAGCACAGACTACCAGAGTCACAAAGTCTATGCCTGCGAAGTCACCCATCAGGGCCTGAGCTCGCCCGTCACCAAGAGCTTCAACAGAGGAGAGTGTTAGAGGGAGAAGTGCCCCGGGCCCCCCACTTGCTCCTTAGCCCCAGCCTCACCCCCTCCCATCCTTTGGCCTCTGGCCCTTTTCCCACAGGGGAGCTACCCCTATTTCGGTCCTCGAGCTCATCTTTCACCTCATCCTCCTCCTCCTCCTTGGCTTTAATTATGCTAATATTGGAGGAGAATTAATAAATAAAGTGAATCTTTGCACCTGTGGTTTCTCTCTCCTTCCTCATTTAATAATTATTATCCGTTGTTTTACCAACTACTTGATTTCTCTTATAAGGGACTAAATACGTAGTTGTCCTAAGGTGCATCAGCATTTATAAAAATCATCCTTCATTCTATTTTACCCCATCATCCTCTGCAAGACACTCCTCCCTCAAACCCACAAGCCTCCTGTCCTCACAGTCCCCTGGGCCGTGGTAGGACAGACTTGCTTCCTTGTTTTCCCCTCATAGTCCTTTTTAAGGGTGGCAGTTCTTACAGTCACACATCCTTTGATCTAATTCAACCTACCCTGAGAATCTACCAAAGCAAATTTTTCAAAAGAAGAAACCTGCTATAAAGAGAATCATTCATTGCAACACGATATAAAATAACAACACAATCAAAGCAACCTAAATGAACAAACAATAGGGAAATGTTTAAGTTCATCATGGTACTTAGACTTAATGGAATGTCATGCCTTATTTCCACTTTTAAACATGTACTGAGTGACTTCTGTCTGCCAATGGCCTTACTGAGTACTTTCCACAACTTAATTTAATCCACACTATACTGTGAGGTTAAAAACATTCATTAAAATTTGCAAAGGTTCTATAAAGCTGAGAGATAAATATATTCTATAACTCAACAATCTCACTTCCAGATGACTGAGTGTCCCCACCCACCAAAAACTATGCAAGAATGTTCAAAGCAGCTTTATTTACAAAGCCAAAAATTGGAAATAGCCCGATTGTCCAACAATAGAATGAGTCATTAAACTGTGGTATGTTTATACATTAGAATACCCAATAAGGAGAATTAACAAACTACAACTATACCTACTCACACAGACAAATCTCATAAAAATAATGTTACATAAGAGAAACTCAATCAAAAGGTATGTTCTGTACGTTTTGATCCACATAAAGTTCAAAACCAGGTAAAAATAAAATTATAAATTTGGATGGAAATTACTCTCAGCTGGGGGTGGGTGAGGTAGTGCCTGGGAGAAGACAAGAAGGGGCTTCTGGGCTTTTGGTAATGTTCTGTTCCTCAGTGTGGGGTTGTGAGGTTATGGTCTGTGCACTGTTCTGTATATACATTATGCTTCAAAATAATTGCACATAAAGAACATCTTATATACAGTTAATAGATAGACGAGGTGGAGAGGAATAAGTAATAAGTCAAGACCATACAGCTGGTAAGTGAGGGGGTCTGGGATCAAATAGCTACCTGCCTAATCCTGCCCCCTTGACCCCTGAATGAGCCTGCCTTCCAGGGCTCAAGGTGCTGGACAAAACAGCAGGCCTGCTATTTTCCTGGCATCTTTGCCCTGTTTGTCTAGCCAGGAGCACACATACATAGAAATTAAATGAAACAGACCTTCAGCAAGGGGACAGAGGATAGAAGTAACCTTGCCCAGACACTGGAAACCCATGTATGAATGCTCACATGTTTGGGAAGTGGGAGGGGCACATGTAATACCAACCTTGACTCTTCCTCATTCTGTGGGGCACTCTGGCCCCGTCCCTCTCAGCTACTCATCTATCCAACACACCTTTCTAAGCACCTCTCTCTGCCTACACTCTGAAGGGGGTTCAGGAATAACTAATACAGCATCCTTTCCCTCAACAGATTGACAATCCCCTTGTCCTGCTCTGTTTTTCTTTCCTATCAGTGCTGGGACAGTGGGGAAGGACAGTCATGGAAAAACTCTTTAAGGAAGCACCTTGCCCTTCTGCCTCTTGAGAATGTTGATGATTATCAGATCTTTCAAACTTTGGAGGTTTGAGTAGGGGTGAGAAAGACTCAGTAATGTCCCTTCCAATGACGTGAACTTGCTCACTCATCCCTGGGGGCCAAATTGAATAATCAAAGGCAGGCATAATCCAGTTATGAATTCAAACCTTCTTCTCAGAAGGCAACACTCTGAAGCGAGACCCACCCATAGCCTAAGCAAGTGAAGACAGGTGCTGCAGGTGGAATTGCGTCCTTCAAAAAGGTATACTCAACACCTAGCTCTTGGTGCCCATAAACGTGACTTTATTTGGAAATAGGGTCTTTGCAGAGGTAGTCAAGTCAAAATTAGGTCATACTGAAATGTCTGTGAGGATGTGGTGAAAATGGATCATTCATATATTGCTGGTGGGAATATGAAAGGGTATAGCTACTCTAGAAAATAGTTGTCAGTTCCTTGAAAAACTAAACAAAAGACACCTACCGTATGATCCAGGAATTGAATTGTGCTCCTTGGGAATTTGCCCCCAGGAAATAAAAACGGATGTCCACACAGAAACCCATACAGAATTGTTCACAGCAGCTTTATTTGTTCTAGTCAAAGCTAGAAAGAGCCATTCCATCCTCCAATAGGCAACTGGTCTAACAAATTGTAATATATCCATACCATAGAATACTATGAGGCAATAAAAAGGAACGGAGTATTGATATAGAGAACAACTGGAGTGATTCTGAAGGACTTTCTATTGAGTGAAAAAAAGACAATCTCAAAGGGTCATTTGAGATTTGATTCCTTTTATGTAACATTGTTACATTATAGGGTGTTACATTATACCCTATAATGTAATTACACCCTATAATGTAATGTTACATTGTTACATTACAGAGTGACAACTTTATAGGGATAGAGGACAGATTCTGGTTGCCAGGGGTTAGGGTGGAGAAAAAAGAATAGACTAGACTATAAAAGGAGATCTTCGTGATCATGGGATAATTCTCCGTCTTGATTGCAGTGGTAGTTACAGACAACTAGACATGTAATAAAATGACATAGAGCTGTACACACCTATTTTATCAATGTCAAATTCTTGGTTTTGATATTGTACTGTAATTATGTAAGAAGTAACCATCAGGAGAAAATGGGTTCAGGGCACATCAGACCTCCGTGCTTTATATCCTGTCTTTGCTACTTTCTGTGAATCTATAACTATTTCCAAATAATTTTTTAAAAAACTTTTTTTTTATGCTGGATCTGAGTGGGCCCTAAATCCAATGACTGGTATCCTTATAAGGACAAGGAGATTGGAGATGCAGGGACACACAGGAAGAATACCACGTGACCAAGAACGCCTCCGGCAGAAACCAGAGGGATGCAGCTGAGAGCCAAAGAGCACCAAGGATTGCTGGGAGCCACCGGAAGCGGGGGAGGTGTGGAATGGTTTCTCCCTGCACCAAGGATTGCTGGGAGCCACCGGAAGCGGGGGAGGTGTGGAATGGTTTCTCCCTGCACCAAGGATTGCTGGGAGCCACCGGAAGCGGGGGAGGTGTGGAATGGTTTCTCCCTGACAGCCTCCAGAAGACACTAACTCTGCCTGTGCCTTGAATTCAGATTTCTGTCTCCGGACCTATGAGAGAACAAACTTCTGTTGTTTTATGGCTCTTAGTTCGTGGTACTTTACTAGGGCAGAACCAAGAAACTACTACAATGGGGATGGCCGAGAAGAGAGCACACCTCCCGAGGAACTCCCTTCTATGCTAAAGAGCCAGACCCCAGCAAGGGTTCAACTCCCCAGGTGGCTGGCCAAATCCACCCACAGAAATCAGGCTCCACAGGTCTGAGAGTTACTCAAATCCAAAAAGTTCAGGTCAGCATGAGTTAAAAGCCAAAGAGACAAGAGGTCTAGCCTGCTTCTCTTGAGATGTGGTATGCTTTTGGCTCTAAAAATGAACTTTGGAATGAGAATGCCCTTACTCTGACAGGTACAGGCTGTGTGGCCCTGAGCAAGTTTCCTTTTTTATTATTATTATTACACTTTAAGTTATATGGTACATGTGCACAACATGCAAATTTGTTACATATGTATACATGTGCCATGTTGGTGTGCTGCACCCGTTAACTCGTCATTTACATTAGGTATATCTCCAAATGCCATCCCTCCCCTTTCCCCCAACCCCACGACAAGTCCCCACCTTGTGTCCAAGTGTTCTCATTGTTCAATTCCCACCTATGCGTGAGAACATGTGGTGTTTGGTTTTCTATCCTTGCGATGGTTTGCTCAGAATGATGGATTCCAGCTTCATCCATGTCCCTGCAAAGGACATGAGCTCATTCTTTTTTGTGGCTGCATAGTATTCCATGGTGTATATGTGCCACATTTTCTTAATCCGGTCTATTATTGATGGACATTTGGGTTGGTTCCAAGTCTTTGCTATTGTGAGTAGTGCCACAATAAACATATGTGTGCATGGGTATATGCCTAGTAATGGGATGGCTGGGTCAAGGTCCTGAGCGAGTTTCTTAATCTGCCTGGGCCTCCCTTTCTCACCTGTAAGGTGCAGATCATGATGGTAATGCCTGATAGGTAAAGAATTGTGAAGATTAAAAGAGATAGCACGAGTAAAAAGCTCCGCACACTGTGGATTGTATGAAAAGCTCAGTGAGTGCCAGCTAGTGAGTGAACACATGTGCTTTCATTGATCTTCAGGGTAGGCTACTCTTTGGCTCCAAAGCTCCCTGGGTCCCATGGTAGATCTAAGGCAGAAGCGAGGCAAGAGAAAGAAAAGGAAAAGAGAAGAAATCAAAGAGGGAGGGAAAAAGAGAATGGAGGAGAGGAAAAAAATGTGAGAAAAATATGTCTGCAGAGGAAAACCAGGAAGGCCATCCCATGATATGCCCCATCTGTGGTAGGATGGGTATCCTTTCTCCAGGTCAGAGATGGCAGCTTGGCACACCATGTGGCTCACCAAGCATGAAACAGTGGTCATTCTGAGAGAGAAGAGGCAGGCCCATACCCATGGCACACAGAGCCTCACATCAACTGTGGAACGATGCCTGGACATGGGGGAAAACAGTGTATGGTGCCACGGAGACTAAGACACAGTAAGAAAAATGAAAACTTACTGATAGTTGGCAGTGGGGTTAGTATAACAATAAATGTTTAGTGTCACAAGATTGGGGCACTCCAAATGCTAACCACCACCTCCACTGACACTCTTATCAGTCACCTACACCATCCCAGGTAAGCTTGGGCACACAATTCCCCTTGTCCCT